ATTTTTTAAAATAAATGGAACTATTAGAAGTAGTAATGTTAAAATTATGAAAATGTTTCCTTTTTTATCAGTTTCATTAGTGCTTTGCTTTAACTAGTAGAGTAACCAGCTAAAAAAAAATATTAGCAACAAAGTCAATTTTTTTAAAAAATTTTTATCAATATTTAGTGCTTTATGTACGTTATTTTAATCTGCACAGCTCGGCCGAATTTCTTTAAAATATATTATATATTTTTAATTTGCATAGATAAATATGGTGATTTAAAATATATGACCAGGTCCCTGTATTTAAAAAAAAAATTTCGACCCGTGTATATTTTAAAAAAATAAAATACGGCCCAGTCCCTGTATCTTAGCCTTAAGACCGGGCCTGTAGGTCTCTGATCCGATTTATAGTGCGCGCTTTTAATTTACCCGATAAATCTGATTTTACCAAATCTATTCTGAAGAGAATCTACCCTGGGAATTTCATACGATTTTGTCAAAATTTTTTTGTTTTTAATAATTTATAAGTTAAATTTTGTCTCGAAGTTACTTGACAAAATAAATCTAAACATATTTATAACTTTATTTGCCTCAAATTGCATTACATATAATACAATCAAAAATTTATAATTAAAATATAATATATATTATATCCATCCAAAGAATTTGAATAAATTTTGACTTTTGTTTTCGCCTAGGGGAATAAAAACATGGAACTTTGTATTCCAGAAATTCTCTTTGCTCTCAAAAATCTGCTTACAGGATGACTTTCTATGTTAATATATTCGTTATTGCTCACAAATATATAATTTTTCCATAGTTCTTGCATAGTTAAATAATTACATTGTTGTCAATATGTGATATCCATATGGGCGTTGCAAGTTGCAAGCTTGCTTGAGCTGCTATAACGGCCCATAAGATGTCGCAGGGATTTTACCTTTTGCGGTTTCAAAAAATGTCACTCTAGGTTTATCCCAAAATCATTTTCATGATTGTAGAAATTAATGAAGTCTTTTTTATTTTTATATTGGTTACTGCTTCATTAGAAAAATAATAAATTTTAGCCACACTATCAAATCTTTCCTTCAAGAATACGATCAATTTTTTAAACAAATAAAATGAACATGCGCTGGGCCTTAAACAATCTAAAATAACCACTAAATTTACATGTTTTATTAAGTTGTCCTCACGGTAATAAATCATAAAAGTGTGGATAGTGGCCTGATTATAAATCTGATTAAATTCTTTTGCATGGTCCTGCACTACAAATACATAGTTTTCTCAAAAGTCTGCAATAACTAAGAATTCGCCAACATTTAAATTGAATTTTAAAAGTTTCGAATTAATGATTATTGTGAAGCTATATACAAGAAATCAAATTGTTTAATTATTCAATTAATAATCTACAAATTCTCGGCGGATTTTGTCAGTGTTTCGAGGGTAGTTCGATCAACAACTATCCATTGTTTGAATGTTATATAATCTATAGAATTCTCGTCAAAGAATATATTAAGCCTTTCTTTTAACTTTAAAGATATGGGGGAAAATTTATTGTTGAATTATGGTAGATTATTTTATTAAATACTCATTATCCTAGCTACCTCTCAAAAATTTTGATAAAGATTAAAAAAAATATGGGCCTGTCATTTAGACATAATTTTTAAATTAACATTATTTCATAACTGTTAATATATAAATTTTGAATATTTTTCTTTCTTTTACTTTTTGTAAAATAATTTAAATGACCTTTGACAAATAAGGTTCGGACGATCTTGTCGCAATTCTTTCTTTTTTCGTTTTTTGAAATAGATTATATAACCTTTTAAAAAACTTATTATATTTTAATATGTAAAAATGTATTTTTTAAATCTATATAAAGACTGTAAATTTTCAGTGTAGATATATAAAAAATAAAATAAATTTAAAATTTAGTATAACTATTCATTAAATTTAAATATGATGATATTTTGGGATAAAATTGTTCAATTTTAGCCATATAAAGTGTCATAACTCCTATACCCATTTTCATCCCAGTCTAGGATTTTGTACAAATATAAAACTGTGATATCTATCTACAGAAAAAAAATTTTAAAAAAAATACCTTTTATTTTCTATTGCCATTTCCGGTTTTGTATATCCGGTTTTCGATATTAATAAAATTTCTATCATATTTATTTTTATGGCATATTAAAGAACTATTATTAAGCTACTTAATAAAATTTAAATTATTTTTCTAACTTAATTATTTCTCGAGATATTTGAAAATAATTGAGGGGCATTTTGTCAAAAATATACCATTTTTCCGCGCTTTAAATGGCCATATCTTAGCTTTGGAAGATAAAATTTCATTTTTTTCTTAGTTATAGTATATACTACCAGTATACAAATTTTAAGAAAAATTGAAGGGGGTCGGGTTGAGAATTGTCTTTTTTTTGTCGATTTGCAGAGTTGGGCAGGTCCTCCGGAAAAAGAATCTAGATACAGATACAGATTTTTTATAAAAAAATGAATCTTAGATACAGATACTAGTATCTTTTTCAAAATATCAAAAAGATACAAGATAAAAGATACTTGTATCTTTTACTAAATTAGAGTATCTTAAATACAAGATACTTTATAATTTATATTTACACGCTTTATCAGGTTGTTTAGAGCAAGAAATATATAATGTAAATATAATTAATGCAAATGATTATATGAGGAAGGGGAGATTTTAAATAATTTAGGGAAGAAGAAGAAAATCTAGATTAATCGGACTCCTCGGGGAATGAACCTATGAAGCATGTGAAATTAGATTTTATAATTTGAATTCCTATGCGTTGACGTAAGTAGACGTATTCTTTTGGGTCTCCTGATTTAGTTCTCAAGGTTCTGTAAAATATTTTTAATTAGGCTAAGAGCCTGACTTCCAAAGGATGTTTAGGTTGTCGTTGCTGGTACGAATTTATACTCATCTGGAATATCCACATATTTATTTGTTTAAAAATTTTCGGTGTATTTTAAAATGTCCTTATTGATTTTGGAGAGTAAGAGGGGCTCAACGCAGTAGAAATCCCAAGCTAGAAATTGGCCATTCTCCCAAGATATTTTTGTAATTCTATTGTAATAAAAATTCAAAACTCTTTTTTGAAAAAGAAAAAAATAGCTTTCCTAACTTAAAAAAGAAAAGATATCAAATTTATTACATCTATTGTAGGATGAATAATAAAATGTTTAATTATTAAAATTATATATAACTAAATAGATGGCGTTAAATACTTAAAATCAAATTGTTACTATATTTATAATCAAAAGCATTTATTAGTAAAATATTAGCTGTAATATATTATAAATGTCAAATACTTCTATAAAAGTGACATTTTATCTAATATTTTATAAACAACTGTATAAAATAGAGGATTATAAACTATATGTATACTTACTTACTTTTTATTATACTTATTTGGACCTTGAAAATATTTTTAGAATAGGTATGATAATAAAATTTAAAAATAAATATACAGTTGATTAGTCATCTTGAACTCTGCTAATTACAATATTAAATTTTTTAATTTTCAGTTAATAAATGATTATATTTATTTAATCAGGATTATAAAATATTTTAAATAATATTAGTCAATAAAGCTTCAACTGTTAATGCTAAATTAATATTTAGTGAGTGATATTGATATTTTATTTTTAACACAAAATTTGATTGCTAGCTGAATAGTGAAAATATAATTTATATGTATTAATTTAATCTAATATTTAAAATAGTATTCATTTAAAAAACATTTAGATAGTCTTATTAATTTTTAAATAATAAAATTATATCTATATTTTACCTAATAGAATTATAAAAGAAATCCTTCAGGGGGCAATCAAAAAAATTTATTTTTAGTTCAAGGGGTTAAGATTCCATTTTAAAAAAAATTTTCGCTTCAGGGGCTATTCAAATTTTCCAAGGGGCTTGAGCCCCTGCGCCCCTCTAGCGACGCCACTGATAATTAATGCTCGGTAGAAATTAGTGTTGTTAAACGGCTCGTTTTGAGCCGATTTTTAAAAACGGCTAACTCAATATTTTAGCCAGAAAAGTATTGCCTAAGCCTCAAGATTTCGAAAATATATGTCTAGACATTTGTTCCTTCTATGAGCAAAATCTTCAGGCTTGGGTAATATTTTTCTGGATGAGGTATTGAGTTAGCCGTTTTTAAAAATCGGCTCAAAACGAGCCGTTTAACAATACTAATAGAAATATAATTACATAATTATATTCTTAAAATTTCTCAATCACATATAAATAAATTTAGACTGTAAATTGAACTCAAGCTAACTCATGAGCCGGCTTGAGCCAAATTCCAAACCAACCGATTCATATGTCTCAATGAGCTGTCTTGAGCTTGAGTCAATTTTTCACTCAAAAACTAGCTGAGTTTAGGGCTAAGCCTAATTGGCTCATCAGTTTAATAACATTAATCACAAACAAATAAATTTCGGCTCAAAAATCGTCTTGAGTTAATTCCTTTGAGCCAACTCCTGAGGCGGCTTATTAAATTTATGTCATCAAAATTTCCACCAAATTAAGTCTAATATCCCTGAAGCCGAATTTGTGTCCTGAACTATTCTTTTCGACATAAATATTCTTATTATAACTTTTGCTCACATTATTCAATAACCAAATATTTAACAATTAACCAGACATTTAAGCTAACGTTTTATAAAAATAGACTTGAACGGAGTCGTTTTACATTATACATCTAAAATATCATAAATTATTATTTCCTTATAAATAAAAAAACTAAAAAAATAGAGCATACCCAGTTAGTCGACTAAGTGAGCCGATTAAGCTACTTGATAAAGTAAGCCGACTAAGCGAGCTTACTAAGCGAGCCGACTAAGCGAGCAGGCTAATACGGCTCCTTGATCGGTTTGAATGAGCCTTTTTTTACAACTACGACTCGAGTTGCAAGTCGTAAGAACTTGACTTTTTAACAACACTACCTATCATATACCATCGGACCTATTCGTTCTATTCACCCAACATAGTGTTTCGATATTTTGCTTCAAATCGACATGAAAACCTGTACAGAAAAGCAAAAAGAGGAATTCATTTGGGCTATAAAAAATGGAGAAGTTGATCGGGTGTATAATATGATAAACACTAAAGTAGTTATAAATTTTAAAAAAAATTTTCTTATACAAATTTAAGACAATTAGAATAAATGAGGAATTACGTGGAAGGCAACCTTTACATTATGCAGCTGATTATGGACAAGCGGAAATTATTAAGTTTCTTTTAAATCAAGGAGCAGATATAAATGTTTATTATATTTTTTACTTTCATTTAGTCTATACTTTTTTCATAATATGGATTATACATTTAATTTAAAAGCATGGATTATTAGCCCATACTAAAGTAAATTTATATAGCTCTTAGTATATCTAATAAAATTTGAATATTAGTTATTAACAATTTCTATTAAATTTTATTAGAATTAAAATTTTAAAAAGATATCTTGTTTAAAAAAATTTAGAATATTTGTTAATATTTATATCAACCAAAGTATCAAATCATGTTTTTGTTATTTAAATTAGGCAAAGGATTCTTATGGAATAACACCAATTTTAGCTGCTATATGGGAAGGGCATATACCAGTTGTTCAATTATTATTGGAAAAGGTATAACATTTCTCTGATTTTTTAACAATGTTTATCAAATTATATATTTATTTTCTTATGCACATTTATTTATGTTAGGGAGCAGATAAAACTGTTTTATCTCCAGAGGGGTCAAAGCTACTAGATTGTGCAGAAAAATTGGAAATTAAAAAACTCCTTGCTTGACTGATGAATATGGATTCCCATTTATCAGCATTTATTCAAATTGTTGTATATATTATTGCAGTAATATTTATATATAGTTGCTCATTTTTTAACTCAATATGTTTTAAAAATTATTTGACTGAATTTTAGTAAAAACATATGAATAAGAGTGATTTGTTTCATTTGCAAAATGGTGGAAAATAAAAAAACTGGGAGTATTTCGCATATATTCTAGTCAGATATTGATATATGACATGGGTGTAGCAAGCTTTTTACAAAAGAAGGGTGTTAAAAGGTGCAAATTTATTTTAAAAGTCGGTGACCTTTTTAAACTATTATATATAATTTATGGGGGATGGATATAGTTCATATATTTAAGCATCAAAATAATACCTAACATAAATATATAATCTAATTTAAATGTTTTACCCTCGTAACTATAGTAGGGTAATTACTATATTTTTGGCCATTTAAGCCAATTTTAGCTGAAAATGATCACATTTGCTTAGGGGTTTTTTTCTTCGAGTTATAGCAGCTCAAATTTGAAAGAAGCTAATATTAATTAAAACATATTAATGTAAACTTTTTCTCTGGCACATACTTGTAGATTGAGCTGACATTTAGCCATTACCCAATTATAATTATAGGCAATAAAAAAATTCATCATAAAGCTTTTATTTTTTTTGGTTTTCTTCTCAATTAGATAAATATTTTTATAAATTATAATTAATGAATTCTTTGGTGTAGGATAAGGATTCCTTTTAAACAAAATTGATGGTGGAAGAGCATCTATTAAAGAATAACAAAATATCAACTGGAATTAATTTAGTATATTAAGATTTTGATATGTACATTTATCAAAAAATTATTCTGCAGAATAATAATTATAAGTAGATCGACCTTGGAATATTTTTATCCACAAAATATCGATATGGGTATCAAATAAAAGCTAGTTTAAATATCTCTTGATTGCAATAATTATATTCTAAGTAGGCGGGAGATCTTAGGTGGCCATGAATATTTATATAAACACAAAATATTGGAATTATAGGAATAAAATAAAATATTTTAACTGAAAGTATTTATTATCTTAAAGGGTTGGACTTGATCTGGGAAAGGAGGGGGGGATAAAAATTTATATGGGTATCAAATAAATAGTAATTAAAATATCTTTTTATTATATTAATTTTATCATAAGCGGGCTTCTTAAGATGTAATGAATATTATTATTAACTCAAAACATAAACATGGGTATTAAACAGGCATCCAAATCAAAACGAATATTGGTTCAGGTTCGGATAAAAATAACGGTTTAAGGTTCGGTTCGGTTCGAACCTTTAAAAACCGGTTTGAACACTTGTATCAAACCTACATTCGAATTATGTATAGGGAAAATATTTTATCATTAATTTAAAAAACACATGTATAAAACCTTCATTTTTATTAATTGCACATTATAAAATAATATTTTTATAAATATAAAAATATATATCAATGATTAATTTTAAAATGAACAATATTTTCCTTTTTTTCACTTAAATTTTTTTAATAAACTGCATAATTAATATATTTTCAAAATTTGTCTCACTCAAATTACATCTATAAGGAGATAGTATAAATTTAATTGTTGAAAAACATCTTTCCATACTAACTTGGGTAGCCGGCACTGCCAATATGATATCAGATTTGATGTGTCATTTATAATAGTATTTAATTTTTCTCTAAGCTAAAATAATTAAAAAATGTTGTAAAATGACAATATACTAAAGTTTATAAAAATTATGACCGACACTTATCAATCAAATGTGATTGATGATAATCTTTAAAATAATTCGAATATAATTGAAATCTATTAATAACTTACATATTATTTTATAAGCATAAAATCATGAGACTCGAACCGGTTCAGAGGCATTTTAGCGGTTCAGGTTCGGCTGGAATTTTTTAGCGGTTTGGGTTCGGTTCAGGTTCGATAAAAAATACGGTTTTTAGCGGTTTAACTGTTCGGTTTGGATCCCTGGTTTAAATAAAAGTTAAATACAAGATATTTAGACTTCAAATATCTTATAAGCAGGGGTTAAATAGTCATTGCTTTTTAAAAACTCATTGTAGCCTAATGAAAAAATTATTTGCTAGCAACTTAATCTAACTTGTAATATTTTTAAATCTCAAAATTTCGGCTATATTTGAAACAATAAATTCAAAAATTTTAAAATGCCATTATAAATTTTTCTTATTGCAGTTATAAATTATTACACTTCTTTATATGCAAATCATCTCTATTATATTTTTTTCCAAGCCATATCAACTCATATTTTATTGATTTTAATAATTGTAATTTAAAATATAATTTTGAACAATTATTTATTATTTACACAAATAATATTTAAGTTACATTTTATGGGACAATTAATGCCATTTTTAGAACATTAGCATCTCTTATTGTTGCAATTTTTTTTGACAATTGAAAATTGATTTACAATTACCATAAGAAGATGCACTTCTTGATGCTGTTATTATGGAGATGGTCTTATTAGGAATGGTCAAATTGGTAAATTATGAATGTCCGTTTTTAAAAATGGGGAATCAATTTTTCCCAAATAAGTTCCAACCCATAATTTCTCATCCTCCATTTGGATAAATTCGGCTTCAATATTTTTGGGGAATAGATTTGATCTATCATTTTATTGGGATCAGTACGTGATCCCCAGTGGAAAATTTTATTTTTGTAAATATTATCTTGCTTATTTCTATCTATTAAATATGCAATAAACGGTGGCAGTCTAGCTAAAAGATTTTCGATGCTATCCCTATTGAGTTTGTAGTATTTTTATCTTTCCATAATATTGTGTTGCCAATTTTATATTTCGTTCTCTCCGAAAGAATATATTCAATATTGTAAAATGATTCGTAGGAATTTCCCCTTCTGCCACATCTTATAGAAAAATTTAAACCCTGTGTTAATTTTTTTTTTATCTAAATTAAAATATTTTGTGAATTTAGGAAAAGGAAATTCCATGTCATCATCATTTTCAAGGGATATTACTTTTTCGATATGATCTGTACCAAAATTATTTTCATTATCAATCTACTGTCGACATTTAAAAAATTTTATTTTTTTGAAAAATACATTTACAATTCATATTTTTAAATATAAATTTTAAAATAAAATAAAAAGATTATGATTTTAGAATTAATTATAAAATTATTATAGTAATTTTTGCTATTTATTTAGTAACGAGCTACCGCTATCTCATTTTATAAAAAGAGTAGTACGCTAAAGCTATCGATATTAAAAAAATAGCTATGGAAATGCCCTAAATTAAGAACACTGCAAATTATATATTTCAGGATTGGAACCGAAAAAAGGTTTAAAAATTGTTTTATCTTCATTCTCTTATTTCTGTAAATTCTATCCAACTAGACATTTTGTTAATATGTTGAGGGCCTGGCTACTAAAGAAAGGCTAAGTCATTCTTATCGAGGTTTGTGATTTGACACAAAATTTATAAATATCCTAAATCTTAATTTATACTAAGGGAGATTAGATATAAACGCAAAAAAGAATTGTTTATCAAATTAATTTTATATTATGTAGGCAAACCCCAACCATTAATACATTAAATTGCCATCTATTTATAATTTTATGTAAAAGTTCAATAATATGCAGAATAAATATGTAGAATATATTTATTGATAAAACGGACTTCCAAAGTATTTGATAACATTATTCAATTTATATATTATGAAAATTTTATACAAATTCTGAGGTTATTAAAACGTCGCGACCCCGACCCAAAGTTCGGGTCGTTTTTTTCGACTCCGACTCAAAGTGAGTCGTTTTTTTATCTTGACACTAGTTCAAGCTAATAAAAAACGACCTCGACCCAAAATATGGGTCGTTTTTTCGACTCCGACCCGAGTCCAAGCGGAAAAAAACGACTTCGACCCAAAATATGGGTAGTTTTTTACGATTCCGACTCAAAGTTTGGGTCGTTTTTTTCGACTCAGACTTGAAATTTGGGTCGTTTTTTTCGACTCAGTGAAGTTTGGTCGTTTTTTCGACTCAAACTTGAAGTTTGGGTCATTTTTTCGACTCCGACTCAAGGTTTGGGTCGTTTATACTGCTCGGGTCTTTTTTTACGACTCCAACTTATTTGAATTTTATAAAGCAAATGGTTAAAAATAGATATTGTAAAATGTTAAATTAAAATTTCAGTTAATATGTACAATAGGAAAGTGACAATTGTCATAATCATTATTTTTGAACTTTTTTCAATTTTTTTTATGCAAAGATGTAAAAATATATATTGTAAAACATGTTAAGTTAAAATTTCAGTGAAGATGTACCATAGGAAAGTGACAATTGTCATAATCGTTAATTTTGAACTTTATTCATTTTTTTTAGATAAATGGGTAAAAATATATTTTGCAAACATGTTAAATTAAAATTTCATTGAAGATGTACCATAGGAAAGTGACAATTGTCATAATAGTTATTTTTGAACTTTTTTGAATATTTTTAAGGCAAATGGGTAAAAATATATTTAATAAACATGTTAAATTAAAATTTTAGTGAAAATATACCATAGGAAAATGACAATTACCATAATCGTCATTTTTGAACTTTTTTCAATTTTTTTAAGGCAAATGGGTAAAAATATATTTTGCAAACATGTTAAATTAAAATTTCAGTGTAGATGTACCATAGGAAAGTGACAATTGTCATAATCGTTAATTTTGAACTTTTTACAATTTTTTTTAGACAAATGGGTAAAAATATATTTTGCAAACATCTTAAATTAAAATTTCATTGAAGATGTACCATAGGAAAGTGACATGTATCTTAATAATAATATATAGTGTCGTCCCCTCTTTAGAGCGTCGATCAGAAAGTATAATCCGAATAAATAAACTTTCTTATTTAATTTAATATAATAAAAAAATTTTTAGATTTATAATATAGCGGCTACAGTATTTTCAGTAGTATATTTTTTTCTAAAAGAATCTTCTGTACTAAGTGGTCTTTTAGATCTAGCTAAGGTATCCTGGTTAGATATAGTATTATTTAACGTTAACATTAGCATATTAAGTTGTCCTTTGGATTCAGCCTAATTAATATATTATGAACGAACGTCCTGATTATAATTTTTAAAATATCATTAGAGATCTCTGATGATAAATTGAGATGTTTATATATTTATTGTAATT